TGAGATCATATGATACATGTCTTTCTCTCACTAGAGTGCTTTTTTGCAGAAAGAAAAAAGAGTGTAATTTATCAGGGAAAAATCCCATCAGGAATGATTATATTTTTAAAGAAAAATGGGGGGGTGGCATTTGTAGGAAGAAGCTTTTATTCAGCTCTTCTTTATAATTGACTTTGGTGGCATATCACCTTCCAGGGAAAACGAAGTGTCCTGTCAGTGATGAGCCCGGCTGTGTTGGAAATCGGCGTGGGGGGGTTGGGGGGAACATGGGCTGAATTTCCTGGGGACACCGCTGCCATCTACTATTGGGAATCGTGGCTGGGGAATCCTCCGGGTGCTGGTTCCCCGGAATCAAGGGATCGGAGTTAGGGAGGTGGCTGCAGAGTGGTTCATGCTCCTTGCTGGGGAACCTGGCACTGTCTTCTGTTCTCCCGGCAGAGTTAGGAAGAAGTACGACAAGAGCGGCAGGCTGATCTTCAATGATGCTGATCTGTGTGATTGCTTGGAGAAGAACTGTCTGGGCTGCTTCTACCCTTGTCCCAAGTGCAACTCCAACAAGTGCGGGCCCGAGTGCCGCTGCAACCGACGCTGGGTGTACGATGACATTGTCACCGAATCCGGGGAGGTGGTCAGCTCGCTGCCCTATCTGGTGCCTGACTAGGGGCCATTGCACGCGGGCTGGTTTGGTTCTTCTTCCTGACACCTAAGCCAACCTCTTTCTCCGGGGTGGATTTTAGGGCATGGGGAAGATGCTGGGAAAGTATACGGAAGACTTCTGTTCTCTGAAGCTGTTAGAACAATATAGCATGAACGTTACTCTGTCCCCTTTTTCTGTGTCTTCCCCAACGCCTTCACCTTGTACCCAGAGAAGGATGGTGGGTGATCTCAGCATCGCCTCCCCAGAACACCTCCATCTCCGCTCTCAGTGAAAAATCTCTTGCCTCTTCACTGCCTGAGATCGTGTGGTTTTAAGAGTTTCAGAATTCTGCAGCTGGGAGCTTTTCTTACACAGAACGTACAGTCTTAAATTTATAAGACCTACTGACCCTTACGCCAGTTCCAAGTCAGAACTGCTCTTTGAATAAAAAACACCCCCACATCTTGTGATTTTGCACTGCATATGCATAGTCTTATTTTTTAATTTAATGTTTTAATAACATTCCGATTAAATTTGGTCACAACTTGGCAATATTTTTATGAACAATTTGTATTTTACTTGTCAAACTGAGAAATTGGGACTTGAATGTCCTAAAAGTTAGTGGTTTCCTTCCCCCTCCCACCATCTCAGGATCAGTATTTTCAGAATTTTTTTCAAAAGGAGGAAACAAGTTATTATATAAAAGTGTACTGTTGTGTGTTAGCTCAGGGAGGGTATTGATATGCAGTTGACTGGACAGGTGATGTGATTTTTTTTTTCAATTCTGAAACATTTTAGGAGGGATGCAGAAATTTGAACTAAGCCTTCTTTGGATTTGCTTTTTTTTTTTTTTTAAGATTTTATTTTTAAGTAATCTCTAGACCCAACGTGGGTCTTGAACTCATAACCCTGAGATCAAGATTTGCATGCTCCACTGACTAAGCCAGGCACCCCTCTTTTTAGTTTCAAAAGCCTGTATTTCGCACAACCCACAGGTGTCAGAGAAGGTTCCTAATAATTCTCGACTTGTTACGTGACCATATGTTTTGGAACTAAAGTAACAAAAAGCCTAAAAGCCCTCCTATGACTACAGTTTTCCTGTATGTGTAGCAGGAGAACTTACTCTGTTTTCCACGTAATTTCCTGGGGTTCCAGATTCAGCTCACTTTTACTGAGCCTCTACTGACTTTTGTGAGCCAAACAGTCATGCTAAGTGCATCCAGTTCATTACCTTGAACCCTCCCATCCTATGAAGAAGGCATGAGATCAAGTTACCCAAGTCTGATCCTTTGAAATACTTACCAGCAATGTGCCAAGCAAAAGGAGTGGGTGCTTTTTTTTTTTTTCGGTTTATATTTTGTTTGGGTTTGAGAATAACTATTGTTTTGTACATGGCTGACCAAATGAATTGTTTTCTTACTTACTTATTTTTAGAATCATATAATTTTTACACTTGAAAAGGGATCTTGCCTGTTGTCTAGCTAGTGAATTAGTCAACAAATAATATCTGGGAGGTTCTTAGGTGCCAGGCACCAGGCAAGGCACGGGGGACCCAATTGTGAGCATAGCCCAGCTGGTTCCTGTCTTCAAGGAGATTATAGACTAAAACCCTTCTTGTTGTTCTATTTTTACAACTGAGGACTTAGCCCCAGTAAGATAAAGTGACTCAATTAAGGACACACAGAAGAGCCTTAGTGTTTTGAACTCCATGACTAGGTCAGTGTTCTTTCCCTGACACCAAGTATTTCCCGAATTTGCCTGATTGCAAAGCTTCTTCAACTGCTTTTAATAACACACATTGCTGAGCCCCATCCCAAACCTCAGGAATCAGAATGAGGGATGAGGCCTGGAAATTCTCACTTGTCATCCAACACCCCAGGTCAGTCTCATGTTCAGCTAAGTTTGAGAAACACTCCCTTATTACTAGCTGTCCTATTTTCATATTTAAAAAAATAATCTTAGGCAAATTAACCTTCAAGTATCTTTCCCTTTTGTTTCTTCTCATCTTTTAGTCTTAAACGTTAGTTGAGATCATCTGATTTAAAACGGACTGGTTTAAAAAGTGTGTTGGCAGATTATGTTGGTAAGTTTTCCAAGTAAAGCAAAAAATGAAGTAAAAAACTGTATGATTACGAAGCAGACACCTCATACTGCTTTTATGGAACCCTAGCAAAACATTTGATGGAGTGCTTTTTTAGAAATCACATTATTTCATCTGGTTCTAAAGCCCTTTCTATGCATTTTTAAAAAGGCTCCCACACTAAATGATCCGAGCACAAATAAATTCATGTGAATTGTCAGAAACTTATCTTGCAAGTGTCTAATTTTGGCACAAAATGAACAAAGCTCTTCGGTGATTTGAACGAAATTCAGATTAGCAAGGAATATAGCTGTACTGTCTGGTGACATTAACCAAGGAAACTGTCTTGTCAGTAGAACAGGATATTCCTTCTCTGCTTGGCTCTCTTTCACATCCTGGTGGTGTGTCTTCATGAATATGTATAGAAATTGTAGATACCACCATGTTGTTCTGTAATGCCTTGGAAACCGAAACATTTATTTGAGCCGGCCTGCAGTGTTTGGCCAGCTAGGATATTTGCTGTGCGTCCAGGGGGTGCCTTTCGCATGGACGACCCTGCCAACAGCACCCCCTACAGTTGTTCAGCAAAGCGGCCCTGCAAGCAGGTGTCATTTGATGTGTGGATTTCTTGATTGCTTAGGATTTATTGACAGTATGTGGTAGGCATTGAATGCTTTAGATCAGCTCATATTCTTGTATAAAATAATGGAAAGAAAATCCTCATTTTTTTTTTTTTTTTTTTTAGATTTTATTTACTGGAGAGAGAGAGAGGGAGAGAGAGCATGAGTGGGAGGGGCGGGGGGCAGAGGGAGAGGGAGAAGCAGGCTCCCCTCTGAGCAAGGCGCTTGACATGGGGCTTGATCCCAGGATCCCAGGAGCCCGGGATCATGACCTGAGCTGAAGGTAGACACTTAACCAACTGAGTCACCCAGGCGCCCCAGAAAATCCTTATATCTTATTTCTTTTCCTTCCTTCTCCATGGTGTCGACAACAGCAGAAGTGAGTTTTCAGGTTATTCAGGATTGAATGGTCCAAGCAGTTTTATACTGTGTTTCTTTCTCAGAATCTTTATTTTAATCCTGTATTTGGTATGTTCGTATTCTTCTTCTCAGATTGCCTAAAATTCTTCCTTTTTCCATAGCACTGTTCTTCATTCTGTAGAGAGGGAATGACATCATCACTAGTCATGGCTAAGAAGCAGTTGATTTTTGTTTATTGTTTGTAGTTTTAGCAGATATCCCCCCTCACCTTGTGTGTTCTTACATTGGCCAATGTTTAGGGAATATATCAGAGATCAGGGACTGAGTTTAATTGTTTTTTCTTCAATAGTGTTTTCGATAGTCCTTCATGCTTAATAGATCCACTACTTAGTGATCCCTCATTCGTTGATTTATTCCTTCATTCATTTACCAAGCACCTCTTACTTGCTGGACACTTTATTAGGCACCAGGGATACAGTGGGTAAGAAAGAAAGAAGAACTCCTAGGCTATATGAAGTAAAAAGAAAACCCATGCCCCTTCCCAGTGTAGCCTTCCTCCTGTCTGAGGTCCTTATCCATCTGCCGGCCTCTCTCCACCTTTCAGAGTCCTCTTAATGTTTATTTATAACATCCATCCTTCTTATCTGTACTTACTGAGAGGAATAGAAAAGGTACATCTACCCCATCTTTCTGGAAATGGAAGTCCCTCGTTTGGGTTTTGAAATCCAGGTAATGCTAGCTTCATAAAAGGATAGCAACTACTTCCTCTTTTTTCTTCTCTGGCTTTGTTTCACATGACATTCTTCTTCCTTAAATATTTGTTGGAAATTGCCAGTAAAGCCGTTTGGGCCTGAAGTGTTTGTTTGGGGGTTTTTAATCCATTTTAATTAAATTCTCAAATTTGTGAACATTAAGTCACACAAAATAAACTGTTCTCATTTTTATGTAGAAAATATCTTCCCCAAATTTTAACCGTAAACCACTAAAAGGGTAATGCAAACCAGTATCCTTTCAATAAATTCCTTTCCCCTCTTAGATTGGGCCAAGAAAGGGAACATCCTGACTAATGCAGGTACCACCCAGAAAATGGAGAGACATTTATACTTGCAGCAAATGCCTTTTCAATGAACTTTCATGAGAAACCTGTTCCTTTTCTTTCCTAAGGTATCCCTGAGGCCTGATTTCAGAGGTCTGTGTCAGAGGCTCTCTGGCTTCTTCTCAACACACCTGTTTCCAGTATGAACCAGGATGCTCCCAGCAGTGACAAGTGAAAAAGTGTTGTTATACAATTCAGAATGAATCAACTGAAATAGAATACAAATTAACTACTTTTCAGGAGTTATTGCAAGCCAGTCCCAGAGAGGGAAGAGAGGAAGAGAGAGGAAGGGAGGGCGGGGGGATGCTTCTTTTCAGAACTACTTGAGATTCAGAATCTCTTTCTAGCTTTAAAATTTTCCATACAGCACATGGCAGCACAGCAGCATTAAGTTATATGATTTCTATGATTTTTGCATATATTTTGGCAAGATGAGGTTCATTTGCATTTTGCAGTTTTTAATAACCCATTTTCCTAAAAGGTTTGTGAAGAATAAAGTTACATGCGTGGTTTTGGCTCCCTCTGCTGGCCATTCTTGGGTACTTTAAGTTTTACCCAGAGAACAAAACCAACATTCCATTCCTGAAATAGATTTGGGTTTTTTCCCTCAAAGTTGAACTCAACATTTCCAAATCTATGACAGCCCTTTAGGTTTGGTAAATATATTTTTATTTTGACTTTTTTTTTTGCTTCAGAACTATACCTGAAAATGATCCATTTAGCAGAAAAATAGTTTAGAAAATATTTCAGATAAAAAGCGTAGCTCCCACTATGTCTCTTTCTCAAGCTGTCTGTGGTGAAGATACCCAGTTAGTTATATGGACTGATATGGGGTCTTTTTTTTTTTTAAGTTTCTTTGTTGGTTTTTCACGATCAGCCTATAAACATGCTCACGACGGCTAGGATTTTGCAACTACGAAGAACTCTGGCTAATTGAAGCCAAAAAAAGGGCCCATCACATGTAAGGAAATGCACGAGAGCTGGCCTCGGGAAGAGCAGATGGCAGGGCAGCTCTATCGGGCTGGGTAACCTTGCATTATAGACCGTGACCTCCAAGACCACTTGCCAGGTGCTCAGCTGAG